TTGTGAATTAGCGAATTTTACTATACAAATATTTTTAAATTGGATTTTAAAGTTTATATGGGAATATTACATGACACTCTGATCCTTTAACAATGCATTGGTGCAAAAAACGCACACCTTTTGGACAAATCTGCCACAAATATTTGGACAAATGTGCCACAAGAGTGCCACAATGGCGCCCCTTCAGCTGGTGGCGCCCTAGGCGACCGCCTAGCTCGCCTATGCCTAGAAACGGCCCTGTTAGTACTAGTGTGTTTTTAGTGCAATCGATGACTTACCCTGGTATGAATCATCCTTTACAAGTGACTACTACATTTCGGAGGCTATACTATAATTGACTCTCGTGGGGTCCCTGCGGAGTCAAACAGTGAAAGTATGCAGTAGTAGGTGAGTGACTCTTTCTTGTTGGCAGTCTAAGAGCTTGGCACAGTCTCTGATAATACTGAGCAAAGACAGACACAAGGATACTTCAATGCTGTTTTATTTTTTTCTGAGAGTAAGATTAAAGTGTCCTGGCAAATATCACAAAGCTAATTTGGATTGTCATGTGCATATTGTGTCACATTGTATCAATAAATCCTGAGTCTGTTTGACCTAATAAAAGGGTTTAATACAACTGGAGAAACTCCTGACAGCTTGACGGAATTCGCTCTCCTCTAAAAAATCTCTAATCTCTTTAAAAGCTTCTCCTGGCCAAAGATATTAGTATGAGTCAGATTTAATGTAAATTTTCTAGCAGCGTCAAAACTCAAGGTTGAGTTGGGTCAAATATGAGAGTCTAAATAAAATTTTTAAGGCTTCCAAACTCCAAACTTCCAAAGGGAACACAAGACAGAATCAGGTGCCTATTTCATTGAAGTTATGACACACGCATGTTGTTGATGTTCAAACTTCTGATCTCGCAGACATTTCAGTCTTTCATTTATATGCTGATTTCCTGAGTGAAATTGTATTTGAATAATTCTCCAGGTCAGCAACGAGAGATAAAAAGTGATTGATTGGTTATGAGTGATGTAAAATTAAATGGTTGAGTTGGGTCAAATATGAGAGTCTAAATAAAATTTTTAAGGCTTCCAAACTCCAAACTTCCAAAGGGAACACAAGACAGAATCAGGTGCCTATTTCATTGAAGTTATGACACACGCATGTTGTTGATGTTCAAACTTCTGATCTCGCAGACGTTTCAGTCTTTCATTTATATGCTGATTTCCTGAGTGAAATTGTATTTGAATAATTCTCCAGGTCAGCAACGAGAGATAAAAAGTGATTGATTGGTTATGAGTGATGTAAAATTAAATATGTATTTTGCCCATTGTTTAGTATAAACATGGAAAATGTTTGAGCTTTTAACATTCTTTTATATCACTGTTCTGTTCTATTTACATTTGTATAAGTTGTGGAAGTTGCCTGTTTTAATTAATGGACAGTGTAATACCAAACTTTTCTCATATGTCTAAACTGACACAGCATTTCATTGCATAAGAAATGCTAATTAATTTTTTTATATCAGCCCTTGGAGCAAATGATGGGAATGTCATGAAACATGATTGTCATTGTCTTTATCTCAGTGAAGTCAAACAACCACAAAAATGTCCAAATATGTTCAAATGCATAGTTAAAGAAAAAAGAAAAAGGAATGACCTACTTTAACCTCAAAAGGACAGTTTACTCAAAAATGGAGCACAAAAGATATTTTTAAAAAAATGTCTCAATGTTGTTTGTTCACACAATAAAGTCAGTTGGGTCCAATCAATGCTGTTTGGACCCCACTGACTTTCATTGTATGGACAAAAAAAGCTGTAGAAATATTTTTCAAAATGTCTTTATGTCAGACAGGTTTGCATTGACATGAAAGTGAATAAATGATGACAGAATTTTCATATTTTGAACTATCCTTTACTTTACTTTACTTTACGTCATTTAGCAGATATATGTATTTTGCCCATTGTTTAGTATAAACATGGAAAATGTTTGAGCTTTTAACATTCTTTTATATCACTGTTCTGTTCTATTTACATTTGTATAAGTTGTGGAAGTTGCCTGTTTTAATTAATGGACAGTGTAATACCAAACTTTTCTCATATGTCTAAACTGACACAGCATTTCATTGCATAAGAAATGCTAATTAATTTTTTTATATCACATTAAATATATATATATATATATATATATATATATATATTATTTCATTTCCATTTTGTATGTTGAAGTACTGAAATAACTGAAAAATAAATAAAAGTAAAACTTAATAAAAAGCCTGTACAGACATAATAAAAAAAAACATTACTACAACTGTAACTAAAATAGATAACTAATACAAATCAAAGTACATTAGTTCATCAGTAATCCTAAAAAAATAAACACACATGCTAAAATAACAACAACTTACTGACACATAATAAGAACTAGATTATAAAAAACTGAAACAGAAGTGGAAAGAGGAGAGATAAAAAGCGATACTTATGTCCTTTGCCGGTGTCCTGCCCGGTGGAGTCGCACGGTAGAGTCGATGGTCTTTACACTCTTCGGTCTTCACACGACCGCTTCCGCGGGCAACTAAGCTTCTTTTTAATTCGTTTAACAAAACTCAAATTGAATTCAGCTGGACACACTTTCCTGTTTATCCCAACAAATGGCCAAGCAAAGCGCACGCCACTGACAAGGTACGCGATACAGTACGAGACTAAACGCCATTTCAGCACGTCTCCACTATCCCTTCAACAACACTTAAAAAAGGGGATGTTTCACAATAAACTAAGGGAGTTTGTATTCCTTAGAGAATTATGCTCATATGGATTTTACAGAGCCAAAGGCCATTAATGTCAAAAGGCCTGTGAAATCTCTCCTCCTGTCAAGTCTCTTGTTCCCTTAGACAGCAGTGATTTCATTTTAGTGTAGCAAATGACTGAATATGTTGCGGGCATGCTGACTTTGTTTAGCCTGGAGGGGGTAACCGTTCAGAAGTCTGAGAGGGAATGGGTATAAAGCCATTGTCTGCTTCAATCAAATGGGGCTTTTAGTAGAAATTAATTTTACTGAAAAAGCTGAATCGTTTCATCGCTCCACTTGTCTTCATAAGTTCTCTGCACAGGTCTATGTGGAAACATCCTCATATTGGATGAAATAGAAAAATGTTTTGTTAAGAGAAACACTGTGTTCTATGGTTAAATGAGTTTACTTTGGCTCGATGTGAGGCCCATGTGAAATTTCTTTAAAGAATTGAAAATGCATTGTGCATCTCACAGCGTGTCAACCCTCTCAGTCGTGTACTCTAAAAGTTATATTTGCATACCGAGGCACAGGCCTCTTAATCAGCATAGAAATGATTCTACTTTTTCTCATCGTTTTTGTTTCTCCCTTTTATATTTTTTCCTTGAGATCTCCTTAAAAATGCTGGACTATGGGCACTGTGATCATTGAGGAACTGACAAATGGGAGTCGCTCAATGGGAGACTGACCTCATTCTGCATTATAATTCAGATTAATGAACATCCTTGTAAGCATTTCTTAGTATAAAATGGTGCAATTTTTACACTACTCATAGTAAGAGCATTTGCATCTATTTTGTGCTTGAGTCTAGGTGTTATCAGGAACAGGAAAGCATGCTTTTATGTTGAACAGCATCTATTATAACAATAGCAGTGCTAAACAGTTCAGAATGTTGTTGCTTATCAGAATTGTACATTTTTACTTCAGGATCACAGATAGAATGAAGAAACATTTGCTGAAAATACAAAGTATAAAATCTAGTGGAGAAAGGAAAAACTTTTAA